AAATGGCCTGACTGTTACCGGTTGCAACCGAGTGGCTCCTTCACCATAAATCAGTTTCTCTCATTGTTTTCGTGCCACTGTAAATGGCTTTTGGTGTTGGATGGGAAAAGTGTATTGATTTAGATATGATAGGTGTAGGATCACATATTTGATTTATTGCTAGCTCCCTGTCTGAATTCCTGCGTGAAAGTTAATGGCAGAGACACAGACAGACACGCAGAGGTGGACAGACAGACCAAAATTACAACGGAAACAATTTAAGACATTTGTTGCAATTTGTTGAGAGAAGGCCATTATCCTGAAAGTTACATGTTGTTGTTTAATTTAAAGGTCAGTAATATAATAATCTCATAAAACCATTTTTATGTACAGACACACTGTGTCCTAGACACACTGTATCTGTACATATAACCATGATTAAAATTTGTGGTAATGGTGCTGTTCAGTATTATGTAACATTGCATTAAAATTGACCAAATAACAATATTGTGCACTAGCATAATTATTTCACCTTGTTTTTTTCATCTTATCCCACGGCTGGCTCTTGCACTTGTATTTTGCTGACATGCTTGCCCGTTTTTTCATATGCTCTAGTGCTTTCATCCTATTCTTCAGAACGCCAGCCATTGGATAAATTAGGTACTCTTACTCAATGTTCACTCGACTACACCTCGACATAATTGTGCTCTTGTATGTTACATACAGTGGCCAACTTAGGGACGTAACTAGTACTTAGTGTGCATTCGAAACAGTGGACTAACAGATCTGCAGGTCAAATATGGTGACCCACTGCAAAGCTCGCTGCTTAATTCAGGATTAGACACTGAACAGATCTCCTGCGGGGATTATGCAACACGCGTTCGAGTTGGTCAGCCATATTTGATCTGCGGATCTGTTAGTCCTGTTAGTTAGATCTGCGGTTCTGAATGAGCTCTTATGTACTGAAGTATAACTGATGGTCTGACAGAGAACACGGGTCCCCGCTGGCTCTGAAGATCAATAGGTTTCTGTGTGTAGTGCATTTGTAGAGTGTAATGTGGCTGCCCTCCCTTGTGTTTTAGAATTCAGATATGGGATTTTAGAAGAGTAGCTAAGGATAATGGGGTTATTCAGGTCAGGATAGATTTCTCTAGAGTTTTAAGTCCTGTACCTAAATCAGTTCTGCTTGAGATGAGCAAAATAGCCTTTAGCTATGTTGATTATGTTTACTGTCTCTGTTAAAAGCTACATTTTTATGTACAGACACAGATGTGTCTGTACATATTGCCATCACCTGCGTCTGTCGTCGCCGATGGCGATGCCGATGGCGATGGCGATGCCGGCGCCGTGCACTTTCCTTGTAAACACGATAAGTGGAGGGCAGTTTTACTTTTTGGCTTTATATTTACAGAGCTGATGAATATTCATAAAACGCAGGTCAAGTTCGAAAATCAGCATGATCGGGCCATTATTGTAGAAGTTATGCTGTTTTTTTCACTTTTCAGCATATTTTTCACATTTCCTCAGATTCAATTCTTAGGCATGTTAACAGTCTCATTATTAAACTAATAAGATACGTAAAAGTGTTTGTTTGACATTTCCTGCATCTTTACAACATTGTTAGTTGATTTTGTAAAAATGATGGTAAACTTGTTATC